AAAAGGGCCAATCTTTAGAATTGTGCGGTTTAGATCTAGACACGGATTGCTTCTCACATGGACAATTATATGTTGCGTGTTCTAGAGTCGGCAAACCAGACAATCTCTATATCTGCACAGACAATGGAACAACAAAAAATATTGTATACCCACAAGCATTGTGAAATTAAACATATTACAAACGTGCGCTTTCTCTTTTTTGTTTCTTTTCCATTTAACCAGACTGAGCCACAGCAACATGTGGCCGGGTACAGCTAGTGTAACCATATTAAAAAAAATAGCACTATACACTGTGCACAATTATTAGGCAAGTGGTATTTTGACCATCTCATATTTTCCACCTCCAAGCTGTATAAACTTGAATGCTTAGTGGATATCAGGTGACGTGTATTTGTATAATGAGGGAAGATCATTATACAAGAAGATCAACACCCTATATCAAAGTGTGCATAATTATTAGGCAGCTTCTTTTCCTCAGGCAAAATGGGCCAAAAAAGAGATTTAACTGAGCTGAAAAGTCAAACATTATAAAAAGTCTTTCAGAGGAATACAGCACTCTTGAAATTGCTAAGATATTGGGGTGTGATCACAGAACCATCAAATGTTTTGTTGCAAATAGTCAACAGGGTCACAAGAAACGTGTTGAGAAAAAAAGACGCACGTTAACTGCCAAAGATTTGAGAAGAATCAAACATCAAGCTACCAGGAACACATTATCCTTCAGTGCTGTTATATTCCAGAATTGCAACCTACTGGAGTCCCCAGAAGTACAAGGTGTTCAGTGCTCAGGGAGATGGCCGAAGTAAACTCGACCATCACTGAACAAGACACATAAGTTGAAATGGCAAGACTGGGCCAAGAAATATCTGAAGACAGATTTTTTTAAAGGTTTTATGGACTGATGAGATGAGAGTGAATCTTGACAGATCAGACAGATGGGCCCATGGCTGGATCAGTAACGGACATAGAGCTCCATTTCGACTCAGACTCTAGCAAGGTGGAGGTGGGGTACTGGTATGGGCTGGTATTATTAAAGATGAGCTAGTTGGACCTTTTGGGGTTGAAGATGGACTCAAAATCAACTCCCAAATTTACTACCAGTTTTTAGAAGACACTTTCTTCAACCAGGAAAACATCTCCATTTTTTAAGAAGACCATGATTCTTATGCAGGACAATGCTCCATCGCATGCATCGAAGTACTCCACTGCATGGCTAGCCAGTAAAGGCCTTAAAGATAAAAAATAATGACATGACCCCCTTTCTACCCTGACCTAAACCCTATTGGGAACTTGTGGGCCTTTCTTAAACAGAAGATTTATGGTGAAGGAAGGCAGTATACCTCTCTGAACAGTGTCTGGGAGGCTGTGGTTGCTGCTGCACAAAACATTGATCGTCAAAAGATCAAGAAACTGAGAGACTCCATGAATGGAAGGCTTATGGCTGTTACTGAAAAGAAAGGTGGCTATAATGGTCACTGATTTTTTTTAAAAAAATGTTAGAAATGTTTATTTGTATATTTTGAATTGTTTGTTTATTATTCTCACTTTAACAGATGCAAATAAATGAATGAGATGGGCAAATTTTAATTTTTCATTTAGTTGCATAATAATTCTGCACACTAATAGTTGCCCAATAATTCTGCACACATAGATAATCTCCTAAGAAAGCCAAAACCTCACTCTTACTTTCTTAAATATTCAGGTTTGAGGTTTATTAACATTTTGGATTGTCCGAGAGCATTGCAGTTGTTCAATAAGAAAATTAATCCTCCAAAATACAACTTGCCTAATAGTTGTACACACAGTGTAGTTATTAATAAATAATTGAAGTTATATTCCTTTGAACATGGACAGTACAAGATTGATTATTATGGCAGCATGTTTCATGAACAAATTGATTTAGATATGAATCATAACAAGTCTCAAAGTTTGATCCAAACAGAAATGAGTAATAATGTCCAGAGTAAAGTATAAAAATATGCAAGTGCCAATGAATAGCTGGGGAAAATATGGAAGAGAGAGAAAGAAAGTGGGGTTTAAGGTTGTGCCCAAGATCTGAAATACTAAGGGTTCAGTAAATAATAATTGTAATAACTCACTCATATGGATCATTTCCTGTTGGAGCATTGATCTGGTGCCAGGCATACTATTTGACCTCATGGGCAAGCCAGGCATGGATCCTCCCATGGAAGACCGGGCAAGAGAAGAACTGCAGTCTGACCCAGCCCTTGCCATTGAACCAGAAGCTGTAGGCTCCATCCTGCTCAGTTTTGAATTTTGTAGACTCCAATCACTTGCTGAATGTTGATTCACTGAGATGTTTCTGTTACATATCCCTGGAAGAATTGACATATTTAAAGCATTTTACTATCATTACTAAAAAATACGGAATACAATTCACTTTGTTAAAGTAGGCATTTCTGCTCCTCCTCATATTCAGATTATAATTCTAGGCCAGAACTGAAAGTATTGTACATATTAAGGTATTTCCCCCCATCCTAGTATATGTGGGAACTACAATTTACTGAAAACTTGCCGATTTGGAAAAGACTACACAAGGGCTTTTCTGCCTTTGGATTCCAACTGTACTCATAACATATTAAAGTCAAGAAACCCTTGTATAAGAGCATTTTTTGAGGTATGCAGCAATTTCCACCAGAAGAGCTAAACTTTTTAAAGTGGGGATGTAACATGTGAACTTCAAACTTATATGGAATCCATCGTTGAGAACTGATTTTCTGTTCACTTTTTTATCCACTCTGCATTTATGCATCAAATATTTTAGGCTCTAAAGCAGGCATGTCAAACTCACGACGTCACATGACGTCGCGCGACGTATCGGAGCTTTTTTGCCATTGCCGGCAATGGGATGGGCGCGGCTCCGGTATGATGAAACCGGCCCGCGGGCCAGCAGTTTAACACCCCTGCTCTAAAGTACAGAACAGTCATGTCAATCATTTGTGGTTTCAAATTTCAAAATTTGCAAACCAAACCAACCTACTGTTTACAATACTTGTTTGTTGAAGGACTGCAAATCATCTTTTGATCATACAGATAGAGATTATTAAAATTTTGGAATCCTGATTAAGGTAAAGATGAGAATTACAAACAAACCCATATTGGCTCCAAAATTTTCTTGACTTTCAATCATTCTTGGTCTCTCAGCCATCATGTTTTGCTTCTGTAACATAGAATATGAACTGGCATTTCTCATTGATGAGACAGAATCCACCGATATAGGATTATCTAAAGATATGGCTCTGTTGAAAGGTGGGCGGATGGTCTGCCTAGACAGGGGACTTCTGACACCTATTGAAAAATTAAAATAGAATTGTAAATGCATCATCTGTAAAAATATTGTCTGTATGTGTATTCAATTATTATTAAATAAAGTATTAAAGAAATATAGTGAAATACTCAAGAAGATCTTATATTCCAGTGTGAAATTAAATTAATACAATATTTTTCCTCTGTACACTTTCAACTCTATAAAGGTCAAGAAAATACAATATAATATACAAAAAAGGTAAAAACTTAACATTAAAAATGAACTACTGTATTGATTTCACTGATTTACTGTATAAACATAAACTATTTTGTGTAATAAAATCAGAGTGCAAATAATTCCTTACCTATTAGTGTATTTCCTTGACATAGAGGTAGCTTATTCCCCATACTAATTCCATTTGTAGGTACAGGATTATGGCAAAAATCTGAACTATTTAGATCACCCAAAATTGCATCTAAATTATCCACCAAATTGCCATTTATCTGCAAAACAACATTTTAAATAATTTATGTTTTAAAATTTCTAGAACAGATTTTATAAGCTAGTATAGACTCAAAACATATGCCTCCAAGACTTAGTATTAACTTTAAAACAACAAAAACAAATGGACAAAATAAAATAAACGTACGTTACAAAATAAAACAAACGTACGTTTTTGTCTAGGAAGAATAAAAACAACTATTCTATAAGCTCATACACATAACCCATTTAAAGGGTAACTCAGAAAAAAAAGAAACAGTAATTGCTTAGTTCATCATTTCATTTATTTAACCTAATGGAATCATTTTAAAATATTTATTAAAATATTCAAACTTTTAAAATATTAACCACTAAGTTCTTTAAATCTTATAGATGGAAGGCATCTAACTTAAAAGAGGTATTCCAGAATAACTCCTACAGAAAGGAATACCTCTTCAGAATTGGTCTCACCTGGAACTAGCCATGTAAAATCTAAAAACAAAGAAAATTGCTATTATATAACTGAGTTAAGAACTAAAGCTGAACAATGTAAGACAACTCCCTCTGGAGTTTTACTTGTCCATGGACTGTCAAAATTTTAACAAGACACTGCTTATCAAATAAGCTTGTGGAATGAAACTAAGAGTAAAGAATTTTTTAACAGAAATTCTGCTCAACACTTGAATACTCATACTCTACCTCTTCTGTGGGTTCTGTTTTTATTTTCATCTCCTTTTCATTACTTGATGTAGGTATGGCTGAACTACAACACTGTCCCATCTTGGTATCCACAGTTTCAATTTTAGGTTTAACGTCTTTTAAAAGCGGCTCTTTTCCATCATCCTTATCAAGCAAGTATCTAAGCAGAGCATGATTCTCTTTCTTTTTAGGACTCATTTGTTCCTGTTTCACTACTTCTCCACAGGAAACTGTGTTAGTGTCATGAAATGGATCTTTACCAGTAGCTTCAGCTGTGATTTTTGCTACTTCGGCTGGAGAATTACCATTTCGTAGCAACTTATGTAAAATCTTGTGCTTCTCTTGCATATTTGATGAAGAAACTCCTCCAGACGTAGAAGATGAAACACCAGATGAAGGACTTGTAGCATTGTTAGAAGATTCTTTGCAGCTGGAATCCAAGGGTGAATTTGAAAGTGTTGGATGTCCTCTCTCCTCTGAGGAACAGGTTAGCAATTGAAGAAGCTTTTTATGTCCTTTGCTTTCAGCTGGTCCCCTCTGATCAGCACCTTCAAGGCTCTCCTCTTTGCTATCTTTATTACTATTTGAGTCCCTGGTGTTTGACTGGCACATAGAGCTCTCCACTTGATTCTGCTCACAAAATATGCCAGGAGGGCTTTTTGAATCCTGACTTCCCATTTTGCTTTGTGCAGGAACATTCATATTTGGAGAACTGTCCAGTTTAGGACCTGGTGACGAAAGTGTGGAGAGGAGAGTTGTTCCAACTCCCTCGCTAATGGCCTGAAGAGCACTAAGTGAGCTGCTTGAAAAGTTGTTGCCGCTTGAATTGCTGACCGGTCCCATTGGAGAGTGTACACCTATAAAAATAGTTCATAGTTTAATTAAAAATAGTTCATAAATATTTGAAATGTCTCAGGAAAAAAGGAAAACAATGCAGAACTGTTTTCCATGCAAGGTTTCTCACAAGAGAATAATGATATAATTAATTTGAGTAAACTGAGTCTAGGTTTATGTTTCAATACATTACAGGAAATATTTTTAAAGACCGAGTTATAAATAAAAATAAAAAAGCAATATTCTGTAGATAAATGGATATCTTATATTGAAATGGAATATTACTTAGAAAGCCACCTTTACCTGGTACAGGAGAAAACTGGTGTGAATTCACTTTTGGACTCCCACGATTCCTAGGCGATATCATTATATTTGGTTGACTGGCATTCAACCCTGGGCTGCCATGTGGTGGACTGCTGATATTTAATCCATAATTATGTTGATACGGAAAAGACTGCATTCCTTGCCCAGAGTTCATTGGTCCCATATTTCCTGGACCCCCATACCTAGCACCACTCATCTGCCCCATCATGTTAGGATCTCCCATGCCATAGTTTCTGTTTTGAAGAGGTACATTTTGCCCAGGTATCATATTCATAACACCTCCACATGAATTGGTGCTCATAGCTGTAGAAGGTCTTATGTTCTGTCCCACGGTATTAGGATTTGGTCGATAAACATTTTGTTCTCTGAAAAGTTGAACAAAGGGATACAATAAAATCAGACTCCAAATCCACTTTTTAATTGTGTTACATTACACACAGAAGAAAAATATACATACGAACAATATAATTCAATATCTCAACATTAATAAAAGAAAAAATGAAAGAAAAAAGGTTTGGAAAAATATGGCATAACTCCTCCAAAATCACCAGCTTCTTTTCCTGTCCTTTTTAAAAATGAAAAATGATTACATATTGATAATCATTACAATATTTGGGTGGAGTGGGGTCTGATGTGATCAGAACGATCCTGCCTGCAGGGGAAAGGTTGTTCTGGTTAGTAGTTACTACTTGGTGCAGAAGATAATGGATTGCTTTTCAGCATTATTTATTGTTCAATCTGTTTAATTTAAAAAATTGTTAAGGAAGCATAACAGGAAAGGACAAATACACTGGTATTAATTCAATAAAAGACTAATTGCAACTAATAAATCATTAATATGATTAATTTTTTAAATGGAAAAAGATCTGCCGCCCTCCTGTTAGTCTTATCTGCCTGTCTGCTTGCCTGGATTCTAACCTCTTCCCATGTCACAGTCATGTGAGGTTTCATCTCATGAACCATGTAGTCCTCAGATCACAACAACCAGGACGACCAGGATCACCCTCACTAAGCAATGCAGGAATATGATCTCCTGCTTTATGACTGCATCGCTTAGTGATGGAAATTCTGGTCCCAATTGCTATTGTTATCCAAGAACTATCTGTAACCTATTTAAATGCTTTGGTGGTGTCTTTCAGGCTCCAAAAACTAAGAAATGATTAGAAAGCCTTCTAAGCAGTTTCCTCCTATTGTTCCTCATCCATAGATAGAAATATTGCCAAAGTAAAGCAACTACTTGCACCATCTGGGAACTATTAAGGAAGAGTCTTCATCACCCTTTTTCCCCACACAAATTCTAAACTACACTGTGTCACTTCAATTAGTTCCACTAAAACCAAACCCTGATTATATTCTATACCACAAATGACATATTATCCAAGCCAGTAATTTCAGGAAGTCCTGTTTTCAAAAAATGGTTAAGGAAGAAAATAAACACCTTTTCTTCTTCATTCCTGTCCTCTTGAGATTAGCTCAACTGAGCCTCAGATACTGCAGAAGCTCCAACATTTATGCCCACTGAAATAATACGTAGGACTACCATTTTATTATCTTTAAGCAAAACCATAACAAAAAATAATTCCTTTGGAAGGTATTATTACTTATTTCGCCATGGAGTGAATCTACTTTCCATAAATTCAGCTGCTAATTTTTTTAATCACAAGATATGAACAAGCTCAGTTGTTTACCTATCCATTTGGTGAACTAGCTACTAGGTTACAGCCAAAGGTATAACGCAGGGATAGAAACTTTCAATAAAAATCACCTGCATAATGAGTAATCATGAGCTGTACTCTGAAATAAGATACCATCTCATTTTTTTGTCATTCAGACAATATGTTAAAAAGAAACAGTGAATTCTCTAGCATGACTTATTTGATCATCTTGTTTTCCTGTCCTAACTTACAAAACAGAAAACCAGTCTTACTCCATGAAAACCATTATCTGAATCTGAAATAGTTATTAGGCTATACCAGGGGTAGGCAACCTTGGCTCGTTTATGACTCGTGGACTTCAACTCCCAGAATTCCTGAGCCAACTTCCAGCAATTCTGGAAGTTGGAGTCCACGAGTCATAAAAGAGCCAAGGTTGCCTATGCCTGGGCTATACAAACATGTCACATAGCAATGTTAATATCTCAACTTTTGCTCAAATAAGCATTTAACGAAAGTTTATACTTTGGAAATCCTAAAATATAATTTGCAATTTTACCGTTGAAGAAAGTGGGTAGAGATAAACCCATGTCGGTCATTGGTAACCGGATTTCGGAATAATTTACTTTTTGTTTGTGCTGTCACTATTGTTCCATCAGCTAAAGAGAACCGGTAGAGTGGAGTTTCAGCAATGCCTTGCATGTAAGCTGTTAAGAAAAACAGATTTTTATTAAAAGAGCACCTTCCTGTTCGTATTTCATGTTACAGAAATTGTGGCTTGCAAAGTAAGATAGATATTTTAAAGGATCAAGTTTGGTGTCTACAAAGTTTTGCTTAAAATGCATACACATGAAAGACAACAACAACAACAAATCTATATAGCTTGTGTGTGTGAATTTGTACATTGGGGGGGGAGGAAATGTCAAAAAGTAACAGAGCTAATCCTATTTTGCCCAGGTTTCATTGTAATAATCATTACCTGCATAAATATAGACTCTCAATTGGAAGGGTCAGGGTTTTATTAAAGCAAGCAGGAACTATTTGCATATGCCACCTCCCAGCAACTTTATGAACACAAAGCATCACTACACACCAATGGGGAAATTCAGTGGCAGCAAGATAGCAAGCAAGATCTAAAAGGGTGTCTTAAGCTTGTCATCCTCTTAACTATGGAAGAAAGGCTTATTTCTCTATCATACTTGACATAATTAGACATCAGTTGATACCTATTTTTTTTATGAAAATACATGATCCAATTAGAACTTCCAAGACAACAATTCACTGTATTTGTTTCAAATTGGCCCTAAAAATAAATATCCCCCCTTTGTTTTTAAAATTAACCCCTCAACAGCTTTGAACTTCCAGATTTTACCTTCCTGATAGTGCCGCTTGTTTGACCAGGGTTGACCTTCATTTTGGCATAAAAATCTCTGAATGCAACGGCGGATTATATCTTCAAATCCCGGTCTCATAGACCTTAAAGAATTTGTATCTATGTTAACAAGTTTACCTGCCAAATAGAAAAAGAAACTATTGGAAATTACATTCAGCTAATTACTTAATTAGCTGAATGTTGTGTTAGAATTTATAGAAATATGCATTGCAATGTTATTAAAAACAAAAGCATAGAACCTTAATTGAATAAAATACTGGCAACAAGTTGAGAATATCAACCAAATAAAAATTATTCATACTTGAATCAAAAAGAATGGAGGGAAGTTGCAGTTCTGGAGAAAAGATATTCCATAATTTAGGAGCAATATAGAACAGAGTCATCTCTGAATAGGCCTTAGGTGAACTAGTTCATATAACCAGACAGACAATTCGTTCAAGGGTTTGAAACAATTTCAGTTCAGCCAGAAAACAATAGGCAAATGCTACAAACTGGAAGCACTACAAGAAAAATTTTCTAAAATATTAATTGCCTTATAGTCTCCAACCTTGTGCAAAATGCAGCAGTGTGAGCAGTTAATGGTGCCAGTTAGTTGGCACATATAAAATCATTGCTCTGTGATATGCATTGGTTACCAGTTTGCTTCTGGGTGCAATTCAGGATGCTGGTAGTCACCTTTAAAGACATATGATTTGGGCCAGATTACTTATATGACCGTCTCATCATCTCATCGTTGTCTCAATGTAATCCAACAGGAGGTGCATTCTGGGTACTGTTGGCCGAGAGGTGTGTGCTTAGCAGGGCCTTGAAAAAGTGCCTGTCCTCTGATGTTTTGTAAGATTAGGCTGGCCCCCACCCTCATTGTTGCTTTAGTTTTTTTGGCAAGATTTCAGAAGAGATTTACCATTGCCTCTTTCCTAGGCTTATGGAGAGTGACTGGCCCAATGCCACCCAACTAGCTTTGTGCCTAAGATAGGATTAAAATGCACACATTTTCTTGTTTTCTAACTTGATGGCCAAACCACTACACCAAGATAGCTCTCACTTTATTTTTATTTTATCTTATTTTAGCAATTGCACTTATTTATTTTAAATTTGTGTGACACCAAACTGGTGTATGTCAGATGGACAACCATATAAACTGAATGAATTCATAAATAAATGCTTGAGGGCAATTAGTAACGTAAACCATGTTATTCCTATAGTTTGCATAGGAATATTGATGGGTTTTTCAAGTAGAATTCTCACCTGAAAGATCATGCCTAGTAACAAAGCTCTCTGTGTTTGGGGAAAATACTCTCTCTATTGTAGAGATACGACGCGCGACACATATCATACAGGACTGCAAATCTGCAATACAAAATATTTTATGACATACTTAAAATTATGTAAAATTGGTAGCATTTAGCCATTCAATGTGTAAGATATGCTGCAATATAAATGAATAGAATACATTTAAATAAATGGATGATTTGCCATTACCTTCCCCTTCTTCTAGCATAGCTCTTGGTTGTGATAACGCAAAACACTGCATGGTTTCAAATCTTTGATGTGATTCCTGACCGCTCCCTATATCTTCTAGAAGTTCCTTTAATGGTTTCACCATCATGCGACAATTAAATGTATGACTTTTCTGTCTCGGTGCTTCGTTGGTCCAAGAAACTCCATTCACTTAAAAAAAAATAGAATTTCTCATTAAATTGGTAGATAAAGAATGATGACTTTAATTCTGTATTTATCCAGCTGCATTGGCTATTTAGAACTGAGGAGCGTTAGGGTTAGAGCATCCTATTGTATGTAACAGTTATGTACTGTTAAGAATTATCCACAAAAGGAAAAAACCTAATTTAATGTATGAAATATCATATATCAGGCAGGCAAAAACCAAAATCTGTTATAAATCTATTAAATCTATTAAAGATTTATCTATTAAAGGGTGGAAGAAGGTAGAGGACTCTTCTAATATTAACCATCAGTGTTTGCAACATGAACTTATTTATTTATTTATATCCCAGTTTTATTATTTTTACAAGTAACTCAAGGCTGAGAACATATCCAACACACTTTCCTCATCCTATTTCCCCACAACAATAATCCTATGTGGTGAGTTGGGTTGAGAGAAAACCTAACTCTAATAGAACTAATAATATTGGCCACAACTGAATCTGCATCTTTTCATACTTAATATTTTGTTATGATTAACATCATAATAAACATCAAATTTACTTAAAACATTATGATGGGGTAATAGACATCTATTACAAAAAGTTAACGAATTTTGTTTGATATTATGTTTACCAAAGTTTGGTAAAAATGAAAGTTAGTATTTTAACAGAATCCACACAATAGTATATTTTAAATAAACTGAACAGCAATACTTCAATTTCTATTAACAGAGAATAGTGTGTGTTTACTCACTGCATATATACTTTGTTTTTTTCTATAAAAAATCAAGGCATTTTACATGAAGGAATCCCCAAAATTTAACTTCACAACAACCCTGTGAGGTGGGCTGAGAAAATGCATATATGTGGGATAACCATTTAAATTACATAAGCCATCTTTGTCAAGAAATTACAAAGACCCAAGCATAATTTGGCTAAATACTGATTTTTGCTGGAAAATGTTGATATTAAGGTACAATGTGAATGAAAATTTGAAGATGTACTTTAAAGTTAATGCTATAGTTTAAAGTTAAACATAATTTTTCTTTTTTTAAGAAAAGGTCAATTTTGCACATTTTACATACCAAGCGATTATGAAAAGCTTTCTTACCTGCAGATTTAGGTAAATTTTTAAGAAAATCTTTCCGATCTTCCTCATGTAAGATACTGTAAACACTAGTATTAACCAGGTCCTCTTGTTTATATTGCAAATACTGAGTGACATTTTCAGATACAAATACAATGTTTCCATCCCTATTTACTACGAATAAGAAGCCATCTAATGCCTAGAAATAAAGTTATGGAAAGCTAGTATTGAGACATTTAAATACACATATATATTAACAGTTATTATGTACTGAAATAAACATCAGTGTTGCTGAAGATGCTACCTAGTTTGGTAATGAAACATCAGCAAGAAAATAACTAAGCTCAGAGAACACAAAGAACCCCACAATCTACAAATATTCTCTGCTATCAGTATTTTATAATCCTATACTTAGCAACACAACATCTATTGTATTCATTTATAATCCTATACTTGCATTAATTATGTCTATACACAGCATATGCCTCCTAGTTGATAGGTTGTGGGCAAAATTATATTGGCTTACAACATAGTCTCTAGATTCTAGCTTGGATAGATTAGCAGCAACATCCTTGGAATAAAACTGGACTTTCGTTATCCTTGCATCATGGTGGCCAAAATGTGCCAAAATAGATCAGTATTGTCCTTATTTTTATCAGGAATGCTGCACTCTGGCATGAAAATGATTAGTCTACTGTATATCTTCTTTCTCTTTGTAATGTATTTTGAAAGCATTACGTGAAAGCCTTGATTAATCAAAGGGATAATGGGCAGTAGAGGTATCTCTGGGCCAGTATCTCTGGGCCAGTCCATGCCATACAGAAGGCTGTACTATGCAATGTAAAAGAAATAAACCTAAAAGGGCAGGGAATTGATGCATTAAAGAAAAGCTAGATATGTTTTATATCTGTGAAACTAAGAAAAAAAGGAAAGAATGTAACTGAGTGGAATGGTCTGATCCTGTGGTGTGAGTATCTATAGGGAAGTGAATGCATAGGTTTAATTATGAATAAAAGAATGAAAAGGTACATCGTGAAGTATCAATAAGTTATCATGGATGCGTATGAGAGCTAGAATCCATAGATTGATAAAGATTGCATGTTACACTCCAGTGAATAGTGACAATGGGAAACGAGATGAGATTTGAGGAAAAATTGTATAGCATTCTGAATGAATGTCATACAGGAGACTGGCTCATATATAGAGAATGAATGAGGATCAACATACATAAAGGAACAGCAAATGCTTTGAGATGTATGGGATGATTCAGGAAGTCATGGATGGATGGAGTTGATGAGGTCTTCATAAAGAAGATGATGAAAAGTTTAAAGGAAAAAGGGCTATATATAAGGCAGTATATGGATGTGATGAAAGGAACAATGTCTATAAAAACAAAAAAAAGAATGAAGACGTACGGGTCATCTGCGACTTACGAATGTCATTGAACCCAGAATTGCACAGTGAATTACGACAGTTAAGTGAATGCCTTGGTCATTAAGCAAATCTGTTGTCTGCTACAGGTGGGGTTTTTTTTTTTTACCAGAAATTGGAAATTGGTTTTCAGGAAAAAAAAAGTAATAAATCTTGGTCATGTGAAACCACAGGGGCTGTCAGAACTTTGAATCCAGGTCATAAGTAGTCTAGGGGAGGTCTGTTGTTAATTTGTACGGTTGCTAAGTGACCAGTTAAGTTCAGAACCATCTATATAATAAATTGTTTTGTGATAAATTAATTTTAACTATTTCTATTCTTTTTCTCAACATATACTTTTCATTTAAATGAAATAAAGGGAGATGGGCAGCTCCAAAATGCAAAAAATAAATAAAAAAATTAAATATTTATTTGCCTTAATATGTCTTGCAGAATCCAATCTGGATTGGTCATTGGGACCAGAGGTTTAGTCTTCTGAGCTTTCGGACTTGTTCTGGAGCCCATCCTCAGGGAACCTCTCTCCCAACAGAGTATGTGCTTTGGACTATACCAGGGGTAGGCAACCTTGGCTCTTTTATGACTCGTGGACTTCAACTCCCAGAATTCCTGAGCCAGCCAGTTGCCTACCCCTGGACTATACTATGCATAATATTTATGTGGTGCCTGGTTGTCTGTGGCTTTTTAGTTGTTGATTAGGGTGCTAATGGCCGGTTATTAAGCAAATTATTATTAGAAGCAATGCCCCACTCGATGCCTCATTTCCAAACCTGATGTCCTCCAATACATTCCAAAAAAGTGGACCAAAAATATACTAACTCAGAATTACATGTATTATAGTCCAACATATCATGTAGACATCTCACTAGAAAAAGGGTACATTACAGGTAATTCCCCCAGGTATGAACGTTTATTTAGCGAGTTTTCAGAAAAACGAATTAATTCAGAAAGGGTACTTACGTTAGAAATTCAAAATTGTGATCAAAAAGAGGCCTCTGTAGCCATGTGACTTGGATTAAGGCTCTGCTGCAACAGCTGCCATTTTTAAGTCTGTGACTTGCCTGGGCCGTTCGGGCCTATGAGAAGCTGGAAGGTTTTTTTGGGGGGGTTGGTCCCTGGTCACATGGCCAATCAAGAACCAATCAAGGGCCAGTTTGTTTTTGCTTTTGCTGCAATCTGCTGCTACCTGGGCTGGAGTGCTACTGTAAGTATTTTAAAATATTTTTTTTGTTACTCTACAGTGCTTGCAAACAGTTTGCAAGCACTTTGGGAACTGCTCTGATTTTTAAGTACTGTACTTTGCAAACTATTGTGCTTGCAAACTATTCAGCTTTTATTTTGGAGATTAGCATATATTACTGTAGTTTGTAGGTTTTAAATTTAAACTGCCTCCAGAAGTTGTGGGTGCCCCATCACTGGAAGCTTTTAAGAAAAGAGTGGATAGGCATTTATCAGAAATATTGTTCTCTCCTCTGAGAGCAGTGGGTTAGACTAAATGACCTCAAGGTCCATTCCATCTCTGTTACTATTGCAAGCAGGGAGTTCTGCAAATCCCTCCCCCATCTCCCTCTGAGTGTGGCTGGAGACTCTTAAGCTGGCAAGTTTTTTTTTTTTAAAGCAATGGCTCCATTCCCTCCCCCCCCCCGACAGGCAGTGAAGACGCTTGAGTGGTTGTTTTTTTTAAAAAAAAAATAACTTTAATGGCTGCAAGCCCTGCTTGGAGGCAATTTAGTTCCTGAACCCAGCACAGGAAACAGCTGATGGGTGGCTGGCGGGAAACCCTCCCAGTTCAGTTAACATGGCAGCTATGGGAGGAAATAGTAAGTCAGATCTTTGTTCATTTAACAAAGATTTAATTAATGCATTTGATATAAAAAAAATTATAAAATTGAGTCTGATCCATTTGACGAGCTTTTTGACTTATGAGCCTAATGGCCAGGCTCCATTAGGTTTGTACCTTGAGGACTACCTGTACTCATTTTCTGGGAATGGAGAAAGAATCTGAATTTTCACAGTTTTTGAACTGTAAAAATATTGAGAGCTGATAGAATCTTCTGAACATAGCTATTTAATAACTACAAATATAGTAAAAACATAGAGCTTTCTGCTGTGCTAACGACTCCAGAATTAAACTATTCTAACAATATTAACACTAACTAGCCTATATACTTGCCTGTAGGAGGAGTGGTCCCAGTGAATCTTTATCAATAACACCCTGTCCAGTTGAAGATACATCTGCCTTCTGAACATCATCATCAGTAGATGCTGTTTTTCCTGAAATTAAAAAGCAAGTCTTGAAAAAGGTAATACTGTATATATAAGCATGCCACTGAATATATACAGGTTTAACTGTTAATATTTATTATTAACATGCTTAAAAATATTTAATGAGAATTTAAACTGCTGAAAAAAACAGTACCGAAACATATATAATATTAATCTTTATTCCATACTAAAGGAGAAAAGCTTCCTTGGAGACACAGAAAATATAAATGCAGCTTAACAATGACATTGTTTGACAATGAAATAAAAGATAAAAGGAGTCCCTGTGGATTTTATTCTGCTAGTCGTTATCGATTATAAGGGATGGTGCTCATCTCCATTTCAAGGCCATTGAGTCAGCACTGCCTAAAGACACTTCCGCGGTCATGTGGCCAGCATGATGTCATGGAGCACTGTTTGTTACCTTCCTACCAAAGTAGTGCCTATTTATCTACTTGCATTTGCAAGCTTTCGAAATGCTAAGTTGGCAGGAGTGGGGGAAAGTTGGGAGTTCATTCCTCTTGTGGTGCTCAGGTCTTGAATCTGGGCTGCCGGCTTTCCAGCCAACAAGCCCAGCATCCTAATTGCTGAGCCACCATACCACCCTTGATAATGAAGGCTGGAGAAGTATTTAAATGATAAAAAACAAACCAGAATTGTGTTATGATAGCTTGAAGTCTACGTATTTCTTCCATGATGTCTTTTATATTCTTTACTTTCTCCCTTCACAACCATAAAATGATTGTGGAAAATATTTAAATTGTTCCTTCCAGCTCTTGATTCTATGGCAGTATGACTTGGCTCTTCTATCATACATGCTAGTCCATGTATGATATGCCATTCACTAAATAAATAAATAAATAAATAAAATCACTTGGCTGTAGCCAATCTGTTATTTTACTGATTCTTAACGCAATGTAATAAATGTAAATTTATGATTCGTTTGGTAAAACGTTAGTCAATCCTTCAATTATTTTATTTGCAGTATCCACGTTGTTAATGTTAGCTTAAGCAGCCAAATGTTTAACAGAAAACAAAATGTGTCTCTTGTTTTAAAGCTACAATCAGATTCATGCCTACTGAAACATGACGTTTAGATAAAAGGGATTTTTTTATATAGATTAAGAATCAGTCTTGCCTTGTTCCTTTATCTGACGTATCTGTCGAACTGTTTCCTTTAAAATTGCACATTTATCCGGTTTGACATTGAAATGATCAATGTCACTCAAATTAGCAGATATCAGTTCAGCCAATTCTTCAATATATTTACTTTCCTGCTCACGTCGCCGCTTCTCTCCACTACATACGAGACTTAAAGAGAAAAAGATACAGAGGTTTTATTAAGTTAAGGCTTCTGGTCATACGATTTCCTTTTATAAAATGTATTAATCAAACTGCTAAATTAAAAGTGTTTTTTTTATTATCCGGGCCAAAGTATACATAAAGTATAAATGTATTAAATAACTTCAACTCAGTAAGTTACATCTAACCCTTTGGAAATGACAATAACCCCTCCCCCCTATGGCCACACTGATATTTCCCAACTGGGTGTCAAGAGGCTGAATGTTATACTGTTTTTGAGGAAAACTTATTTCTGAGTAGGAACTTACAACAATGTTTTTCAAGGTTGAATAAAAAATCAATACAGGAATGCAAATGATGGGGGAGGGGAGGGGAGGGGAGAGGAGAGGAGAGGAGAGGAGAGGAGAGGAGAGGAGAGGAGAGAACTGCTACTGGCTTTTCTCAACTCTCAGTTTGCTTCAACTCTCTAGTATATAGGACTTGAAGAATCAAGTCCTTGACAGAAAAATGACTGCCTGGTCCTACTTTATTGCAGGGCTTTTCAACCAATGGTACGGGTACCACCTGTGGTACATTGGCACTTGGCAGGTGGTACGCGACCATCATAGAAAAATGGTAGCGGGGGAGGGGAATGAGCTGAACCAGTGGCAGTACCGCACAAGCCTGAGCACGAGATGGTTGGAGCTGCAGGGCTGCCAGGGCTCAGCGGAAGCACCAGGATCAGTGCCGCTTTCCAGCTGATTGGCGCTTCTTCGGGACTGTCAGGGCTCAGTGGAAGCGCCAGGCTCCAGCTGGAGCTCGGCGCTGATCCTGGTGCTTCTGCTGAGCCCAGAAGAAGCACCAATCAGCTGGAATGTTGCCTTATCTCCAGGGTCTTCTGATTTATATTCAGATGCGTGGCAACTGATTCATATTTATGACGGTCACAGTGTCCCAGGGTCATATGAAGTGACCAAAACCTGCTGAACCACCCAGCAGACCGGGGGAATAAAAACACACACACACCACACCATCCCCGCTGCCAATCCTCAACAGAAATGCTCACAACAATGGAAACCTCGGACAGGAGGAAGAGCGCCGCCAGGTGGGCAGGCAGGTATCTTGCTCGGCTGTGGCTTAGGGGGCACTTTTTTCAGTGCCATTGTAACTTCAAACAGTCACTAAGTGAACTATTGTAAGTTGAGGACTACCTGTACTTTATCACTTTTTTTTTTTTTTTGGTCATCAAGTTTTTGACACCTTGCTAGGCAACTGGTGGTACTCGGATGTTGCCATATCCTAAAAGTGGTACAGTGGGTGAAAAGGTTGAAAAGGCTGTATTGAATTAAACAACACGGATCTGATTTATATACTTAATAATCTCTTCTTCCTCCTAAATAATTTATTTCTTGCAATAGTATGAGTTTACCTCATTTCAACCTTTTAAGTATGCTATCAACTAAACTCTAATCTAAATAATAACTCAATTTTAAATTCTGAAATTACCATACATTTTTGTAAATGTTCTGTAGTCACAATATTTAAAAAACATGGAAATACTTTACCCCGATCCTGTGATATCACATGGTTTGCGTTTTCTTGAGTCACTGTTCATACTGTCCAAGATGTTCTCTCCTAATCCACTCATTCTGATCATGCATCAGCAGCTGAAACCATCAAGGAATACAGTAATCACATTTAAAATTTTGCTTAAGAAAAGGTAAACCATTCAGAAAAACATTCCAGAATGACATGATTGTGAACGACTGATGATCACGTACTTTAATGACATCCACTGATGTTTTAAAACTCAACTTTAAAACTCAAAGAAGTCAGTGAGATTTTCAAACTTCAGTATTATCAATGTGCTATGGTACACATTTCTTTGACTGCTGAACTCTTAAATAGGTGTGTAGATCCAGTTTTCATTTAAATAGTACAGACAATCTGAAACCTAATTGGTAAAATGAAGCACAGCAGTTCATTGGGAAACTGACCAATATGTCCAGCAACAGGCAACCATTTCTGAATGGAATCCACCTGGATTTCTGCTATTTGGAAAAGAACACCTAATTTATTTCACTCGTATTTCAAATATTTTAGTTGCAAACATAGATAGAATACAGAATACATAACAGCAAGTTGGAAAGGATCCTGGAGGTCTTCTAGTCCAAACCCCTGCTCAAGGAGAAGACCCTATACCATTCAAAACAAATGTTGTTGAATCTCTTTCTAAATACCTCCAGGGATGGAACACCGACAACTTCTGTGGGCAAACTATTCCTCAGATTTATTGTGAATAAATGTGGGTGGCATTTCTTGCTGATATTTTTCTTTGCAATGTTATATAAAGTTCTAATAAATTAGGTTTAAAAATAATTGATACACACAACCATCAGGATTTTTTTTAAAAGAAAAACAAATTGTGAGTCCCATTCATGCCACTAGATGGCAGATCAACATTAAAGAACTAGACAACTGCCATTTAAAAGGACTGAAAATCACTAAAGGATAGGCTTTTCAATGAAAAGGCAAAATTACGTATCTTGGTCATGCAAAAAAACACATATCAGCTGTATTAGAGCACCAGCTTACGCTTTTTATGTAGCAAGTTATGTCTCATAACTTGTTTTATAACAAAACTCAAATCTTGAAGCAGAAATTCAGATGGCAGTATTTGTTTCTCACACAACTCCATTTCTAAAGAGGCACATATTTTTATAGCACTAAAAGCTGCAGGGAGAGACAGGAAGTACAAAAAAAAAACCCCCAAGATAAAAAAGCTCAGGAAATATGAAGACAAATAAATACATCAAAAATCCACAAGCATTTTACTATGCCGAATAAACTGCCCCAATATCTTTTTTAAAAAGTCAAATTTTATATAGTATTTCTCTAAACATGAAACAATATTAGCAGTATACCGAGCTCCTAAATAAAAAGCTTTTTCAGCTTGGACAAGAATAACTTTCTGAGAAGAAAAATGTATAATGAATATTGCCTTTGAAAATTATATGGTTCAATTGTTAATAACAGAAAATTAGTCCATCTCCTCTGTATTATACTAAGCTTTTTTCTCTTTCTTTCAAATATACTTAAAGGAGGAGAACATTTAAATAAAGGTTAGTAACTCTGATTCTACCTGTTTCTCACAGTAATTGTTAAGGCTGAAATAAAGAACATCTTACAAGAAACTAGACCACTATACAATAGATACCTTTAAATAAAAGAAAGCTGACAATCTTATCCTAGCAACAGTGCTGTCCCATCTTACATCATGTTCTTTTTTTTGCAATGTAATGTAATTATGCCATCAGTTTGCCTAGGAAGACCCTACGCTGAAAATGTTTAATGACATTAACTCCTTTATGCTGCAAGATAGTGTCATTACAATGCCAATTAGCCAAAGCATTATTAATGCAAAAAACATATTCATTAAAAAATACAACAATGAAGTTGGCTTAGCCTTACAGAAATAAGGATATGGTTCCTTCATTTTTTTTTTCTGCATGTGTTTGGAATTGTCACGACTTTTAACTAGGCAAAATAGTGCATCATATGACAACCATTTTTTAATCAAAGTATCTCAAATTGGCTAACTTACAGAACATGCCCCAAAACCAGGTGCCATGGATAAGTTTTAGCTGCTTCAGTGCTACTGGTTGCTGCTGGACTGGTCTTTATTTTCAACATTCTCTGCCAGTTTCCCAGCCAGTCTTGCAATCCCTCATTCCCTGCTTCCCCCCAGCAGCCATTTATCTGCAGGAAGGGAAGGGAAGATTTCTGGTACTCCCTGCCAACTTTCCACAAGGAACAGGGAAGCTTTTTTTGCCCGCCCATGGTCATTCTGTTTCTCTGTATAGGTTAAAAAAAATCTTAAACAATAACTCAATGAAGTATGGGTTATCCAGATTTTTAAAAATAAAGTTTGCATAGTTTTGTTTTAGTATTTCATGGAAATATGAAAACACCATTCTCATTTATTCCAGATTTCAAACTATTTCATTAAACAAAGGTCTCTTTAGAATAATTCCAGAATTCTAGTTCTCATGTGTATATTTCAGGTAATATTACGGATCTCAGCAGACAAATCAATTTTGGGGCTGCCCTGAAATCTACTGTGCATGTTTCAATAAGAAAGAGCAGTGTGGAGCTGCTTACCACTTTAAATGTTCTTTCCTGTGGTTTAGAATGACAGAATTTCTGGAAATAAAAACGTTACTAACTGATATAAAAAAGAACTTTTTGAACTTAAAGCAAAGATTTTGATTCATTAGATTAGAAAAGAGTGTAGTTAAAGATGTATTTATTCATTTATTTACTCATTCATTCATTCAATTTGTAAGGCCGCCCATCTCAAACCTGTGGTCGATTCAGATGAAATGAGAATTACTTGAAAAATGTGACAAACAACATAGCACTCTGATGCAGAGACAGCATGGTATTCAAAAAGTTCGGTTCAGCTAAGAAAAAAAGCTGCAGAAGTACTGATTTTAATGTGTTTTTTTTCAAACTTGTGATCTCTTTAATAGACTGGTGAAATATAAAAGCCCTTAGAAATCCTTTTAGAGGAGACATTGTGTAACTTAAGAAAGTTGCATTTTTACAGAAACATGTTCTTTCACATGAAAAAGATTTCTGCAAAAGATGGACTGATCAAGTACCGTATATATTATTGGTACAGGTGGTCCTTGACTTAAAACAGTTCATTTAGTTACCGTTAACAGTTACAACAGTACTGAAAAGGTCACTTAGGATCATTTTTCACACTTAGAACTGTTGCAGTATCATCATGGTCATGTGATCAAAATTCAGATCCTTGGCAATTGACTCATATTTATGATGTGATCATTTTTTGCAACCTTCTGAAAAGCAACGTCAATGTGGAATCCAAATTCCCTTAACAACCATATTACTAATTTAACAACTGCAGTGATTCACTTAACAACTGTGGCAGGAAAGGACTTAAAATGGGGCAAAATTCACTGTTTTGCTTAGCAACAGAAATATTGGCCTCAATTGTGGTCTTAAGTCAAGAACTATTTATATATGTATCAAATTCTGCTAGGAGTATAAAAAGTTTAATTAAGCATTCTTAAAAATTTGTAATAGAATAAGAAAGTAATTTTATTACTTTATTACTGGTATGCATTAAATATTTAATACAGGTAGTCCTGAACTACCTGCAACGGATGCTGCAATGGTCATAAATGTGAAAAATGATCATGTCACTTTTTTCAGAGCTGTTGTATCTTTGAAAAGTCACTAATCAAACTATTGTAAGTCAAGGACTATTTTTATAAGAGAAAATCTAATTTATTATTATTAACTGATGTGGATGGCATCTTTCAATAAAAGGTACTTTGAAAAATGCATTTTTCTAGCAGTAGTCTTCACTGATGATATTCCAATCACAAATGAGTTTAGTGTCAGTCCTTGAGATTTAAGGGTTGGCACATAACTCTTGTTTCTGGAATGGTTTCCAGAAGAGGCACAAGACTGAGGCAATATTTCTAGTTCTTCTTACTCCATGTGATTCTATGGACTTATTTGCAGTATATCACTGTCTCACTTAAATGGTACACAATGACTGCATACACTGTTGAGAGACTTCAAGTTCTCAATTTAAGCTTTAAAATAATCTTTAGAGTGGTGCTGAAGATACTGCTTCAGTATTTACGTCTAATCTTAATATTTAATCGCCAATCAAAGGCAGCATAGAATAAAAATAGACCAGAATGCAGAATAAAAAGAGGCCAGGGCAAAAAGGTAGTTCTTAATTTCTATGATTATTTAAAGCTGATGCATTTGGAATAACTTGCTGAAATTTTCAGACAGAATTGAGATCAAATTTTGCTAGATGGAAAAACCTAAAAATTGTTGAATTGATCTTGCTACAAAAGAAAGTTCCTTAATTCTCAAAGGTAAAGTTTAGCAGTTGGCAAACTCCTTCTCCTAAATGGAAAGCACAACAGTTCAAGATATTATAATAACCGTCTTGTGGCATTTCAAATGTGGATTAGTTTATTTTTAGTGTCATTTTTTAAAAAATGTGCTTCATTGGATGTATTAGGCTAATGAGATAATCAGAAAACGTGCTTCCAGTACAAAAAAAATAATAAATGAAACTATGGAATAGAACCATAGGAAATCTGTCACCACAGCAGGTGTGCAATGCATTATTTTACAAATAGGAAACTCAGGAACACTGTCTCTTTGAGGGGAAAAAATTCCTAATTCAAATTTCAGTTCAACTTTGAACTTTCCAAATTGTCTTAAAACCATTCATTACCTCTCAGGTCCAAGTCTACTTCAAAATCTAGAACTAACATTGAAATCTAATATTAAAGGATTACTAAAATGTAGCCTGCTGGAACTGGGATTCAAAATATTTCAACCCATAAAGATTATACTGAGTTATTTCAGTAGTACACGCCTTCCTCTTCAGATGAGCTGGGCTAAAAACAGACTCAACAAGTTTGCCTAGAAAAGGCTGGCAGGGAGGCAGAGCCCACATTGATGCAAAAATGAGGCTGCAACCAGTCACATACCAACTATGCTGCTTGAACAGAGCAAGGAAGTATTTCTACACAAAGAGGTATCTGAGCTTAACTTCCTGGATTTATTTTGATACAGTCATTTCTTTGCCATTTATACCAAGAGATGATGATGATGATGATGATGATGATGATGATGATGATGATGATGACACAATAAAACCACAACCTCTTAAGAACAGGTTAAAAATAGAGAATACATACTCCCCCCTAAAGCATTAATATTATGAATAGGGATCATTGGGGACATAATGGAGCTGAGAGAAGATATTTTCTCTGCCCTAGTATACATGAAAAATATTTATGACTTCTAGAAAGATTAATGTGTACTTTGTTTTTTGTCCATCACCACTATATTATCATTGCCACAATATTTACTGGTATTCCCTTATTAAATTTCCATATTTTCCAGTGTGTCTCTCATGAAAACATTTTCGTTTTTGACACTGTAAACTTTTGCCCATACCAGCTGGCCTGCACTTGCTTTGGCATTGCTCCCATGTTTACATCCATGATGGGCAGCTTATT